GGCTCCAGCCTCTTCCCCACCCAGGCAGCGTTGTCCCCAGGGCTCCAGCCCCCCACCAGCCCCATCTCCCTGAGGACAGCCGGCGCGCCCCTCCCAGCCCAGGGTTCAGTTCCGCCCCCACCCCCCAGTGCCGGCGAGAAGGGGACGAGGCGGCTAAGGGAGGGGCCCCCAGCCCGGCACTCACCCGAAGAGCCCCCTGGTGTCGGCTACCACCATCTTGATACCCTTGCTGTGGCAGATTCCCCCGACCCGCAGCTGCTCCTCCAGAGGAGAGTTGGTGAGAACCACGACCTGCCGCAAACAGAGCCCATCAGTGCCAGGCCGGGCCCCCAGAGCCCCCCACCCAGCCCACCCCACCCGGAGCCCATGAGTGCCGGCCCAGGCCCCTCGGAGCCCCCCCACCCGGCCCGCGCCGCCCACTCCACCCGGAGCCCATCAGTACCGGGCCAGGCCCCCGGAGCCCCCACCCGGCCCGCGCCACCCACTCCACCCACGAGCCCATCAGTACCGGGCCAGGCCCCCGGAGCCCCCCACCCGGCCCGTGCCGCCCACCCCACCCGGAGCCCATCAGTGCCGGCCCGGGCCCCCGGAGCCCCCCACCCGGCCTGCGGCGCCCACCCAGCACACGGACCCTGTCAGTGCCAACCTCCCAATACCAGAGCCGCCCACCCAGCCCACCCCACAGACAGAGCCCATCAGTGGTGACCCACGCCCCCAGAACCAGCCCCCAGAACCCCCCATCCGGCACACAGAGCCTGTCAGTGCCACCCAGCCCACACCCCCGGGGCCAGCCCCCAACCCACCTAGCACACAGAGCCCATCAGCGCTGACCCATGCACCCCCATGCCCCACAAGTGCCGACCTGCACCCGCCCACACCCCACTCCCCAGTGTGCTGGCCTGCGCCCCCAGTCCCCCCTCCAGCACCTCCGCTCCACCCAGACAACCCCCAGCTAGTGTCCCTAACCACCTCTCCTGCCCCTTCTGCGCCCCCCCATCCCATCCAGCCTGTGTGCAAACCCCACCCAGAGCCCCCTTGGCTTGCACCCCCATCCCACCCACCCAGCTCCAGCCCCTGCCAGCCTGTATCCCCCGCCCCCATCTTCCAGCCTGCACCTCCCTCAGCCCTCACTCAGCACCGGCCTGCACCCCAACCCCTCCTCCTCCCCACACAGGCCCAGGAGTGCTGGCTCCCAGTCCCCCCTCCTCCCCCCGTTCTAACCACCAGACCCCACTCCCCTCCCAGCGCCAGGGAGAGAACCCAGGCGTTCGGGCTCCCAGTCCCCCCAGTTCTAACTACCAGACCCCACTCCCCTCCAAGCACCAGGGAGAGAACCCAGGCGTCCGGGTACCTGGAATGGGCTCAGAAAGTCCTCGGTGAGGGCCCCGGTGTGGACGCTGACGGGCACGTAGGAGTTGAGCTCGGCCAGGCGCGGCTGGGAGACCTCGGCCCGGTTCTTCCCCAAGTCCTCCTCCCGCAGGTAGAACTAGGGGGCAAGGGCGGGAGGTGAGGGAGATCCGGGAGAGAGGTGGGGCGTGACAGGACAGACAGACGGGAGGGGACGGAGCCCTGGGAGGCCAGGGGACACAGGAGGGGAGGAAGGGCTCGGACAGGCCGGCCGGGCACCTACCTGGGAGGCCAGGTCTGCCCACTGGGCGGGCTCGGTGTCGTGCAGGGTGACCGACTTGACGCCGCCCAGGATGATGTTCTTGGCGATCTCCACGCCCAGCCCCCGCAGCCCCGACACCAGGACGCTGGCGTTCTGCAGCCGCTTCATGGCCTCGTGGCCCAGCACGTACCTGCGGGGAGAGCGCGGTCAGGCCGGGCGCGGCGCAGGGCCCCTGGGCCCAGTCCTGTCTCCGTCACGGACACCACGCGTGACCCGCCTCCCAGCACTGCGCCCCCCGGCCTCAGTTTCCCAGACAGGGGAAACAGGCTTTGTTCCGGAGTGGGCGGGCAGACGGGCCCCTGCGGGGGTCTCTGGGGGTGCCCCACCCACTGCTGGTACTTACAGCTGCCTGGAGTACAGGCTCTCGTCGATGTCGACGTCACTGCCATTCTTAGCCATGCCCTGTGAGCAGAGGGGTCAGAGGTCAGCAGAGCCCTGTGCAGGGGGGGGGGGGGGAGCCCAGCGGGGAGCTCGCTGTGGCCGGGACATGCCCCCAACCTGTGGCGCTCGCTGCCGGGGCAGGCCTGAATTGGAGAGAGGGCCCTGAGTCTGAGCCAGGGGGGCTGGGGATACCCTGGGGGTCCCATCTGGGGGAGAAGGGGCTCATTGCAGGGGGGGGACCCCTGGGGACAGGGCAGGCCAGGATTGGTTCTGGTCCCAGGCTAGCAGGACCCCACCCACCCGAGACCTGCTGGGCGGCCCCCGACTGCAGGGTTAGCAGCACGTCAGGAACCCCCCAGGCACGGCTGCGAGGGATCTCGGGGGGAGGGGCGAAGGGGGGGCGCCGGGGGCCCCATAGACTCACGTTGGCGGGCGCTGCGCGCGGGTCACTCTGTACGGAGTTGCCAGAGGAGCAGTTCGAACCCGTCTTCGGCTCAGATCCAGACACGCGGCGCTTCTTGGACAACGGCGAGCTGGACATCTGGGGGGGGAGGGGAGGGTCAGAGCAAAGCCCACATCCCCCCAACACTCAACCCTGGGGGACACCGGGGGAACCACGCGGCTACCGCAGACCTGAGCAGAGCCTACACACGGCGGGGGTTGCTGGGAGGGGGCTGGGCAGGGGTCGTTCTCCCCGGCAGGCAGGGCCGGGCACTGGGCAGCTGCTACCCAGAGGTGGCCGCAGCAGTGGCTGTGCCGGTTCCTGGAGCCTCTCTACAGAGCCAGGGGCCGGGTCGGGCAGGGCCTGCGGTGACTCAGCGGGGACGGTGACTCATTTCCCAGCCCAGGCAGGGCCTAGGTCCCTGTTCAGCACCCCAGGGGGAGAAGGGAAACCCCAGATCACTCCCCTCCCCTCCCACAGCCTGGCACCGTCCGCGTGGGCAGAGACAGCTGCAGGGGGATCGGAGGTGTCGGGATTCAAGTGGTGCTTCCCGCCCCCTCTGCTAGGACCAGACGCATCCCTAGGCTCCCCGAAGGGGCTTCCCCAGCCTCATCCGCCTTCTGCCAAGCTCAACCCCGCTCCTGCACCAGCCCGCTCTCCCTGGCAAGCCGGCCAACAGAGCCAGTGCAAGGTAGGGACGGGCTGATCCACCGGACTGAACGAGTTCACTTCAGAGGATGCACGCCCGGCCCAGACATGCAGCCACCTCTGGGGCAGGGCAGCAGTGGAACAGCCATACATAACGCCGCACAGGGACAGCTCGCCAGAGGCTTTCAGTCCCCGCGTCACACTGGGAGCTGATTGTCCCCCAAATCTCTCAGATCGCTGGCTGGGGAACGGCTCTCCTAATGACTGATCCTCTGGTAATTAACCGCCCCCCACCTCCACCCCAATCGCCGCCAAGGGCTGAGCTAACCCCAATCTGGGGCCCCGGGGTGCCTCCCCTGCTAATTTCACGCAACACCCAAGACCAGAGCTCTTTGAAAGTCATCGGCGGGCGGCCGACTTTAAACGGTCCGAGCCCTGCGGCAGAGCCAGCCCAGGGCGGAGAAACATGGAAATTCCAGGCGGACTCAAACAACCCACCAGCCCCAGTGCCTGGGACAGCACGGCACGGACATCCCACGAGCCCCACGGCGAGACGGACGAGGACACCCCAGCCACACCAACTGCTCAGTCCCGTATCCCCCAGGGAAGTCGGACCGGCTTTATCCCGGGATAACCCCGGCTTTTTCCTGTTTAAACTGAAACCCCTTCCCAAGCGGCATGAACAACACCCAGGGCTTAAATTCACACCTTCGCTTGTACCGACAGGAGAGTGCTCACCAGAGCAGCACAGGGGCTGCCTCGCCCCGCCCCAGAGACAGCCGCATTTCAGGGCCCGCTGAGAACAATCTCCCCCAAGTACATCCATTAAAAACCTCACCTTACCTTCCCCATCAGTTTTGACTGACTACAGGCTCATCTGGAATTATCCTGCAATAGCACAGGGGAGGATGGGCAGACCACCTCTTAACGGTTTCCAAGGGCTCGCTTTCCTTTTGAAAAGCAGCCGTAACAGTGGAGAAAAGCCGGCGTCGTGACAGCAACACCGCCTGAGTCTGCAGAGAGCCTGTTCTGGTTGCTGCCCGAACCCGCCGCGCGCCCCATTCCATTTCAACCCCGGTGACTATCTCACTCCTTGGTGCATGTGATGGACCCCGAGGGCTGGGAGGATTCCCGGAGGCGGGGGCCCAGACAGGATCCGAACTACGGCAAGCAGGCCATAGGCTCCCCGCCAGAGGCCCGAGATCGGCTTCGTTTTCCCCAAGGGGCCACCTGCAGGCTGTCCCGTAACCGAGGGGCAGGGGAGGTCTACACAGCAGATTGGATTGTGATAGACAGGACACTGGGCTGGACAGAAAACTGCCCCGTCCCTGTGCCCGAGCCACACGTTTAACCAAAACCGAAAAACACGCGCTCATCCGCACTGTCCTAGGACTGGGTCTGCGTTCAAATTCCCTTTTGCTTTGATCCTAAGTGATCCCCAGACACACACCCCGCCCTGAGACACAGGGCGGGCACTGGCTGAGAGCGGAAGAGAGGAACGAGAGACAGGCAGCGGGATGGAGACTGGGATTGTTCGGGCACAGAGCGGATGGCGGCAGGTTAAAGGCGTTTCCCCGCTCGATTTGGAAAGGCGGGGGGGTGTCCCTGCACACCCCGGCGGGGGTGACTGGGTCCCTGCAGAGGCGACACGTCTCAGACCAGGTGTCTGGCTCAGCTGGGCAGAGCGGGACCTGGCAGGGGGCCGGTCCGCTGACGCGGTTGCTCCAAGGGACAGTTTCAAAGCTGGGCTGGAGTACCGAACCGGCGGCTGCGTGCCAGCAGGACTCCAGAGAGGGACGCGCCAGGCCTCAGCCCCTGCCGATAACCCAGCGCCTTTCAGCGGCGGCGCGTGCATCCCCTCACTGAGCTGAGAGGCCGTTTAAGGCCAGAAAAAGCCCCCAGGCGGATCGCGGGCTGATCACAGCCCGTCAGGCCGGAGGAAACTGAGCAGAAGGGGAGCGGATGAATCTGAAGGAGAAGCCAGTGTCTCGTGCGCCCCCCACGAAGGCAAGGCTGACTCAGCCCACAGGGTTTTAACCCCCCCCGGCACCCCCGACAATCATTCTTGCTGTGACCCCCGCGTCTAACGGCGCCCTCGGGCACAGGGCGGGATCCCAGCCTGTCCCCCGCGGGCACCAGAAGGGCGAGGGGGCCTCATCTCCTCGGCTGGGTTAGAGGCCGGGCAGTGGCCGCGCCAGGCGCCGAGATGAGCAACACCAAGCCATGCAGTGACCCCCCTGGTGCCCGCAGGCTCAGAGGGCACAAGACGGCAGGGAGCTGCCAGTCACACCAGGGGCTAGTCCGGCATCCCCCAGGACTTCTCCTCTGGGAAGTCGGGGGCTGTCACGGAGAATCCTCCAAGCCAAGGCAGGCAGGATGGCAGATGGGGTTGGGGGGTGAACAGCCCCAGCTGGGCACGGGAGCAGGAGGCCTCAGACCGCTGGGCGGCTCTGCCACTACCTGGAGTCATGTTTCCTCCTATAGAAACTGCCGTCCCCAGAGACCCCCCCAGGCCAAGTGCTGCTGGGAAAGCAGGGCTGGGCCAGCCAGATACGCAGCTGAAATGAACACTCCCAGGGCTGGGAACCAGGACTCCTGGGTCCTATCCCCAGCTCCCAGAGGGAAGTGCTCTCACCCCTAGACCCCACTCACCTCCCAGAGCCGGGGAGAGAACCCAGGAGTCCTGGCTCCCAGCCCCCCCTGCTCTAACCACCAGCCCCCACTCCCCTCCCAGAGCCGGGGAGAGAACCCAGGAGTCCTGGCCCCAGCTCCCCTGCCCAAGGTCAGCATGGTCCCACAGGCAGCACAGCCCCCCCGCCCCAAGTTCAGCAGGGAAGGGCCACGAGCCAGGGCTCTGCTTCCCAAGCACCCCTGCCCCACACTGAGCGGGGGGGGGGGTAAGAGGGGCAGTCCCCTCCATAGGGTTGAGTAGTTGGCTGGGCTGGGCGAAGGTCCCATGAGGACACCATAAAGCTGCACCCCACAGAGGGGGCAGTAATACAGGGGTTCCCCCAAGTCCCCCAGCACCAGGCCTCCCAGATCCCTCCCTCGGGGGGGTACCCCCAGGGCCCTGTCAGATCAGGGATGTTGGGTTTGGGGGGACCCAGGTCGGGTCTGAGGAGCCGGGGCCGGGGGTGGGACCCCAGTCAGGTTCGGGGGGGGCGGGGGATGGGTCAGGGGAATCAAGGGGGAAGGGGACACTGGTCAGGGGAGGGCTACGGCCCGGGGAGGGGCGGGTCCCATTGAGCCCGGCCCGGTTTATGGGGGGGGGTCCGGTCCCCTGGGAGCCCGGTCCGGTCGGGGCCCGGTCTATGGGGAGGGTCCGGTCGGGGTCCGGTCCGGGGGGGTCCTGTCTATGGGGGGTGTCCGGTCCAGGGGGGGTCCGGTTCCCGGCTCCCAGTTACCAATGAGGCTGGCCCGGCCCGGCCCCGCTCGCTTCCCCCGCTCGGCTCCTCTCACAAGATGGCGGCTGCCGGGCCCGAACAAAAACCCCCGCTCGCGGCGCCCGCCAGGCCCCGCCCCCCGCCGCCCATTGGCCGCGCGGCCCGATCGACGCGCCCCGCGACGCTTACGCCGCCCGCCCATTGGCTGCCAGGGAGGGCGGCCCGCCCCGTGACCCGGGACACGCCCCCTGCCGGCGCGGACACCCGGATGTGGGGAGAGGAGCCGGCGGGACCCGGATGGGACGGTGCCCCGCCCACCTCATGAATAATGCACAACCCGGCCACGCCCCCTCCGGTCTCTCACGGGGTGGGGGAGGGGCAGGGCTAGAGGTGGGGGAGGAGAAGGGCGGGGCTGTGGGGCAGGAGAGGGAGGGGCAGGTGTGGGCAGTGCAGGGGGGTAGGGGAGGAGAGGGAAGGGGCAGGGGCAGGTGTGGGGCAGGG